GGGGGGGAAAGGCGCAAGAGCGAAGGGACGTTGGGAGAGGGTGAAAAGGAGCGATCTGTTGGTCGGGGGCCGTGCCGGCCTGGGGCCGGTGGGCCGGCTCCGGATGAATCCCCCTCCGCTCGCCGGGCCCCTGCCTCCTCCAGGTCGGGCTGGCTGGCGCCACAGCCCCGCCGTGTTCGCACCCCCCCCCCCTGGGAAAGGCGGTCTCGTCTACTCGTCACCGTGGGCTTCGCGAGCCGGTGACGAGAAGAGGGCCGCCTCGCGCTGGCCGACCGCGCGATGCACAACAAAATGGCCCCTTCGGGGGCTCAGCACACACACACACACACACACACATACACGCCTGGGCGCGGAGGTGCGCCAGGTAGGAATGCGCTGGACCGGGCCGGGGTGTGGCCCGGGCCTTGTTGGCCCCGGAGAACTCCCCCGCCCCCCGCCCCCCGCCCGGCCCCGCCCCGTCCTGAGAAGCGCGGCAGAGGTCAGAAGGGATCCTAGCAGCCGGGGATCGGCCGAAGAAGGGCGTCTTCTGCTGCCCGGGCCCCCAGCGGGGATGGGACGCCACCGAGAGATCTGACTTATAGGCCAAGAATGTGGCTGGGCCAAGCAGCGAATGGCGAGGGGGGGGGGGGGGGGGGGGCCGGAGGCAGCCGCCTATCATGCTCGGACGCGTAGTGCCCACGCGCGATCACCAAGGACGTCGCTGTACCTCTCCCCTTCTTGCCGCCCCGGTCCTTCTGCACCCCCCCCCCCTCCCCGCCCCCCGGGGGGGGGGGGCCCTGCGGCCATCTAGCTCATGAGCAGGGGCCCTTTGCGTGGCTCTCGCATGAACACGCACCACGGTCATCGCATCGCCGGTGTGAGCAGCCCCTCGGACTGAGGCATGCCCCACCCCAGCCGCCGTGAGGGACACATTAACTAGCCTGGCCCCCTGGACGCCCGTGGCCGGCGCCCCCACGGACCCCCACCGGCCGCGGTGCAAAGTGGCTGGCGCGAGGGCACAGGAGCGCGCCGGGGCCAAGTGGCCAGCCGCGACCGGCGACCAAGGCCTCCCCCTGGCCAGATTCGGGGCGGTTTCGCCCCCGGCTCACAGCCCAAGGCGCCCCGGCGAGCCTGCGTGGTAGCACCAGGGCTGGTCCGGGATAGGGCCAGGGGGGGGGGGGGGGGCCCGGGACGCATCCTCCAAGTCTGGGAAACACCGCGCGAAAATACCCCTCCCCCTCCGTGGCCCTGGAATCCCGCGTCGCAGCCCCCCCCCCCCCCCAGACAAATGGATGATGTTGCGTCCCTCCCCTGTGGTCAGCGATAAGAGGCCCCGGCCCTGTCTTCTATCCTGCCCTGGAGATGGGGGGGGAGCATTTTTCGGCGGGCCTGCCTCCTTCGCGATGCGCACACGGTGGCGGTATCCCTTTCCCCCGCCCGTCCGCCCGTCCGCTCGCACGCCCCGATTCGGTGACCAGCGCGGGCTGGTCGTCTTCTCGGGCGATCGGTCTTGGACGTTCTCCTTCGCCCTTTCCTCGGCCCCCGGCCCATCACACCGGAGAGCCCAAGACCCGAGCCGCACACTCCTACCACATTTAGCAGGGTCTGTGCTCTCTTCCTGCCCAGGTGGGGGAGGGGGGGGGGGTGCCCCTTCGAGCGCAGACAGGAAGATCCATGGCGCCGGGAAGGGGGA